CCACTCCAACCCTATGGGGTGCCCGACCTGGTCCCTGCCCGTAATGACCTCTCGGGGATGTCAGAGGCCAGGCTGGCGAGGCGGCCGCGACCCGGTCCGTTAGTGCAGATCAAGGCGAGTCAGTTTCCAAACGCACGTTCCCACGTTCCCCCAAAACGTCAAGGGCGCAGACAGGCCACGGAGGTTTCCCCGAGTGACCCTTCCCCGGCCCGGCAACGCTCAGGTACGTGCAGGGAAGGAAAGCCCAGGGAAGCGAAAGCTGGGCAGTCCCGCAGACCCTCCGCCCCTCGCTCTAACCCTCTCGGCCGTGTGGGTCGGAAAATGGATGTTCTCTGGGTCTGAGGATCAGTTTGAGGTGTTATTTGGTTTCGTTTTCTCTCTCCGTATTGTAGAATCCAGTTTCTGTGATTAGTAACAGCCAAAAAGTGCTATCCAGAAAGACAGAAAAATAAGCCCCCGGGCTGCGCCACATCGGCCGCCACCTCCCGGCGGGTGGAGAGCTGGCGGGCACTGCAGCCGGCTCGCCCGTGCCCGGTGGCCAGTTCTGACCAGGGTCTGCGCTGCCCACTGAGCGGCCGAGCGCGTGGTGGCTCCTAAGGTTACTGACGACCATTCCCCCAGCCGTCGCGAGGGTCCCGTGCGGGCTCTGATTGGGCGTTGGGTGCGGTGGGCGAGTCCCTGGCCNCCTGGGCAAGTCCCTGGCCGTTTCCCTTCCCTGTGGATCAGCCTAGAGATACCGAGTGTCGAGGTCATTCGTGACCTGACAAACGCCCGGGAGGCTCGGCCCTTGCTCAAGGTGGCAGGACCCTGAGCGCCGTCCGTCAGGTGCGAACGAGCCGTAACTGGGACTTTGTCCTGCAGCCTGGACTCGTTCCTGTACGGCCTCCACACCCTCTTCAAAGGCGACTTCAGAATCACCGCGCGGGACGAGTGGGTGTTCGCGGACATGGACCTGCTGCATAAGGTGGTGGCTCCGGCCATCAGGATGTCCCTGAAGCTCCACCAGGTAAGCATCCGGCTTTAAACTGTGCCAGCCCGAAAGAAAATCTGCTCTGAGAACGACGGGCCCCTTCCTTGCTGTGACATTCACGAGTGGGTTTCTCACTCAGGCGACCAAGTGGGGCGGTCTGAATATCCTTGACCTCAGCCAGTGGCAATTTGCCTTCCGGCTGTTAGGAGCTGGGAATATTCCACGAGGGTGGGAGGGGGAGCGGGCTAGAGAAAGTGACATGTCCGAAGTGCCCAGGCTGCACTGGAAAGTCCTGAGAACCTGAGCCATGGGCTCTCCCCCCCGGCACAGTCCAGCGGTCAGGACAGTGATCAAGGCGACGCTCTGTCCAGCTCAGGCTTCAGAAAAGAGCAGGGGGAGTGCGACGTGGAAGGGGGCTCGGCCTGCGGTCACTGGCCCGTCCCCACCGCGCACTCAGCCAGCCTCCCCCTCTGGCCCTCACCCCCCCCAGGACCAGTTCACCTGCCCCGATGAGTATGAGGACCCCGCGGTCCTCTTCGAGGCCATCCAGGCCTTCGAGAGGAGAGTGGTCATCTGCCACGAGGGCGACCCGGCCTGGCGGGGCGCCGTGCTGTCCAACAGAGAGGAGCTGCTCACCCTGCGGCACGTGGTGGACGAGGGAGCCGACGAATACAAGGTCATCATGCTCCACAGGAGCTTCCTGAGCTTCAAGGTGATCAAGGTACGCGGCGCGGCTGCCAGGCGGTCCTGGGCCCGGGGGACGCGTGAACAGGGACCGGCGCCTGGCGCCAGCGCTCGTCTCTGCCGGCGGCGTTTGTTCAGAGCCGTCTCCGAGGGGCACTTCCCGCACCCGAGACCCAGTGCGCAGGCGAAGGCTTTGGCAAGAGGTCCTGGTAGACGCACATCTGCTTACTTCTAAAGACGAATTCTCTAAAACCCCAGCCCTTTCTCTCACAACCTGTTCCGGGGCCAGCGGCTCCTCCCATGTAGCTGCAAGCCCCCGGCTGGAAGGCTGACCTTCCCACTGGCCGCCCTAGGGGGCGTCGCGCCTGGGCGCCTGCCAGGCTGCTGACCGCAGAGCGCTTCAGGCCCAGGGGCTGCGTCCCGGGCACTCGAACCCAGAGCCCCACTCCCCGCTGCAGGTGAGCCCCGAGGACGGAGCCCACAGGCCACCTGCTCTCCCGCCCTCCCCGCCCGCAGGTCAACAAAGAGTGTGTCCGGGGCCTGTGGGCCGGGCAGCAGCAGGAGCTGATATTCCTGCGGAACCGCAACCCCGAGCGGGGCAGCGTCCAGAACAACAGGCAGGTCCTGCGCAACCTCATCACCTCCTCCTGCGACCAGCCCCTGGGCTACCCCATGTACGTCTCCCCGCTGACCACGTCCTACCTCGGGACCCACCGGCAGCTGCGGGGCATCTGGTGTGGCCCCGTCACTGTGGACAGCGTCCGGGCTTGGCTTCGGACCAAGTGGCTGAGGTAGGTCTCCGCCCCGGGCCTGCACCTGGGCGCCGGGGAGGGCGTCCTGGCGTGGGGAGCCCTGGGCTCCTGGGTGGTTCCCTGCCATGGCTGCTTTCTCACTGATTACCGCGACCATGCCCACGTGTCACCGAGCTTATCGCTCGTTTCAACAAGCAGTTTCGGGGGTGAATCAGTGGGACGCTCAGCCAGCCGAGCCTCCGTCTCCCTCACGCGCCCACAGGCCGAGCGTCTGGCTTGAGTTTGCAGAGCGGCAGAGGCTCTGGGTCTTCAGGCCCCAGACGTTCCACAGCTGCCACAGGGCAGAGGCAGGAACTGCCCAGCACCGCCTCTCGACCCCAAGTCTCCTTCCCTGGGGTGGCCGTGCCTCTGGTCAGCTGGAGTGGATCCTGAGTTGCTGTTGAGTGCGGCAGAGCTGCGCCTCCGAGCCCGTTCGTCCTGGTGCGGCGTTTTCCTGTTAGACACCGAGATTCGGGGAGCGGGGCCCCTCTCCCCGCCTGCAGGCCAGGAGCGCAGCTCACCTGCAGCGCGACTCCATTCTGGTTTGGACGTGCTGTGTGGGGCGTGGGGGTATTGGAAGTGTCCCGGTGAGAGTCCCGGCAGCATTTCTCTGTCCTAGGATGCGGAAGGACTGCAATGCCGGCCAGCACGGTGGTGGCAACATCGAGGACGTGGACGGGGGGGTGGCCCCACCCACAGGTGCCCCATGTGGGGACTGCCAGGAGAGCACGGAGCAGCCCAGGAAAGAGGGGACCCCATACTGGTCACCCCGCGAAGGGACACAGAGCACAGGTGGGTGCAGGGGGCCTCATGGCTGCTGAGAAAGGCTCCGGTGGTCCCAGTGACCCACCAGTCTCGTGCTGTCCTGCTAGCCCCCGAGAGCCTGTTGGTGGTTTCTCCTCTGGCCTCAGTGATTCCTCAGCACCCAGGGCAGATGGACCAAGGCCCGCCGCCCCTCCCACTCAAACAGAGGAGAGACCTGTCTGCTCTCTGCCTGTTCCTGCAGCCTGACACCTGCACAAAGTCACACACCTCTCCCCACACCGCGGCCAGAGGGACGGTCCTTTAACGTAACTCGGTTCAGCTCATTCTTCCGATTGGGAACAGAGGTGGCCGCAGAAAGTCCTGGGCGGGTACCAGGCTTAACCTCGGCCATTAGAACCACTTGGGATGCTTAAAAACTGCTTTGACCTCGGGGCTGAGATGCTACGGGACTGGGAAGGCGACTCTGGCTTTGACCCAGCTTTGAGGGTGGTCCCTCATGTCCCGTATTTGCTTCAGTGTGCTGAGCCTGTGGAAACGATGCCATCACCACTTCGGAGAGGCAGGGTGAAGGGTGGACAGGCCATGGCTGCCGTGTCTGTGTGCTGAGTGCCCACGGGAGGGAATCCGGGCCCGGGTGGGGAGCACCTGACTCTGGGCGGGGCGGCCAGGGAGCAGTGACTGAGCAGTTCTGAGGACGACGGTGAACCAAACTGTAGGGTCTCTTTGTACTCAGGGTGCCCAAGGCTTAATCCCCACAGTTGGGGTCCCAACTACCCCCCACCCTTGTCCCTCCCTCAGTTCCCAGCCGTGTCCCCGTCCAGGCTCTTGCCACACTCTCGGAGGATTGGGGTCCTACCTGGGACCCCACGGCAGGGCCCCTCCCACGGTGAGTCGTGTGTCTGCTGCCCCTGCATGCCCAGCACCTCACCCCCGCCCCGGGTCCCCCTTGGAACCGGACCTGCCCAGCTGGGGCGGCCCGGGACCTGCTTGCTGAGAGGATTTGTGACCAAACTGAATCCCGCGGGAGAGGAAATCTGCTCTGCTCCCGGTGGGGACGGGCACCCAGCCCCTCGGGGAACAGTCACAGACGGAGGGCGGTGCCAGGTAGTGAACCCAGGAGGGTGATTTACTGAAACGCTCATAATCTGATAATAAAGTAATTGGTGAAGTTAAGCTATGAAACTGATCCCAGTAGCACAGGCGCACTGAGCATCATCTGCCTGCTTGGTTTGCAAGATTAAAATAAAAATAAAATCAAGAGCAACAGCAACAAAAGGCAACAAGGAAATCTGCAGCACTGGGGGGGCAGCGCCCCGTCCTGCAGGGAGCGCGGACTCCCTCTGCCACAGACGGCCTCTGTCCCTGTCTTCCTGGAATTCACTGGAAGCTCCCTGCTGAGTCCGGGTGGTCCTCTCCCCGGCATCCGCATCACGGACTTGCGGTGAGGGCCGAGCGTGGGGGGGCGGCAGCCAGCGCGGCGTAAATCACAAGCAGATGTCCGGCCCTGCCCGGCTCTGAATAAACTAAAATCCCCGCCTCTGTTCTCAGTTCGCCGCGGGCTCCCCTCCTCCCTCGGCTTCCTGGGTAAGAGTAGCCTCTCCAGCTACTCAGCAGGGGCAGATGGGCCCGGCCCAGTGAGATCCCCATGCCAGGGGCGGCCCATGCTGGTCCCGAGGTGGGTAACGCCAGGGCTGCGGGCGAGCAGCACCGGGGCCGGGGGCACCGTTTTCCCAGCAGCCTGGCAGGAGGAGGCAGGGGGGAAACCTGTCTTAGAAACAGTACCAGCATCACAGCGGCCGCATAGCTCTAAGGCCAACGTGAGGCCAAGGGCCCTTCCCGCCAGTGAGCTGATATGGGCAGGAGCAGGGCTGGGGGACCCCTGGAATCTCCATGTTAACATTCGTCCCCTAAGGAACTTTCTCAAGATAGGGGTCTCTACGGAGCTCCCTTACCGACATATATTTTAGAATCACCAGATGCACGATTAGTGACTTGGGCATTTGGGGTGAGGTGGAACACAAGGAATGTTTACGCAGTCCTCTGGGTGACCCCTCTGCCTTCCATCTTGGTGGATTGAAGGCCTAATTGTAGCAGCTTCAGGAGCCACCAAAGGCCATCGGCAGACAGTGATGTCACTAGCTGCTCCCTTCACACTAATATTTTAAAATTGGACCCTGGTAACCACTGATGCTTAAATGAAGCATTAGGTATTGGAGGGAGCCCAAGCCTTCCATCTGCTTAGTCTGCAGAGCTGCACGAGTGGGTCGGGCACCGACCTGCACTTTAAGGTGTCCTCCAGAGACATGGATGGGACCAGATTGTTGGTGCTGTCCATCCCCTTCATCCAAATGGCCTTGTCTTGACATGTGTCAGCAAGAGCTGGGCCATGGGGGAGCCTGAGGGCAGGAACAGCAGCACAGGAGGGGGGGCCATACTGGGCAAGGGTCGTGTCCCCAGAGGCTGGGCCTGGCAGGGCCTCCTTTTAAAGACCTGGATCTGAAGGGAAAAATTCTAGAAAACAAAGGCCACAGTATGTGGCTCAACCCTTTATTTTTCCTTTTATCAACTGAAAGTTGAAAACCGGCATATGTTCCCTTTGTCACTACCTGTGGGATGAGCACAGGACCTGGGTCCTGATGCAGGAACAAAACAGGGTTAGCGGTTAGCAGGACAAGGGTGAGTTATGCTGCTGGTATTGTCCAGGGCTCCCAGGAGTGCGCGACATTAGTGTCAAAGCCAGAAAGGTCCCTCACCCTGGCGGCTGCCCCACAGCAACGCCCCCACCTCTCCCTCAGGCTGCCAGCACCCTGGGGTCAGCCCTTTGCTCTCATGGGCTCAGGGGAGACCTCAGTAGGTTTCTGGCTCTGAAGGCCTGGGCAGAGCAGGCGCCACCTCACTGTGCTAATGCTGATGCTGCGACCACTCGCTAGGCCAACCTGTTCTTTCTTTTAAAGGCAGGAGGAAGGGCAGGAGCCAGTCTGTCCAGGCACATGGGGCGTTAAGCCAAAGGCCACCCACCTTGAGCTCGTCCGGCCCGATCTTAGAAAGCCGCCAGGCCTTCTTGCAGACGTCCACGTCGGCCCACGGGCTGGCCCCAAGGCTCTCGGGCAGCCGGCTCTCCCTACACACCTCAGCTGCGTCTCTGCACTCTCAGCCCCCACCTGTCACCACCACTGGCCACCTGAGTGTCCGTGAGCGGGCCGAGGCACTGATCCGGTCCAGCCTGGGCTCGTCCAGCAGCTCCACCCTCAGCTTTCTCTTCGGCAAGAGAAGCTTCTCCAGCGCCCTTGTCATCTCGGGGCTCTCGGCCGCCGAGGGGAGCAATACCAGCGACACCCAGTCCTCCAGCAGCGTCAACCTCGCACTGGGCCCCTCGGCCAGGGCCGCCAGCCAGGCCACCAGGGTAAGGGGCCAGGTGGGGTGGGTGTGCAGGATCCTCTCCTGATGGCCCCATCCAGCTGCCTGCAGACCCCCAACCCCTTCACAATGACAGAGGACAAGTGATTAGACAGGAGATGATCTGGCCGGGCGCTGAGGCTGACAAAATGTGTAGCGCATGCCCTACAGGTAATAAACATAGGAAGGTATCGCAGGAGTTGAGCAGAGGTGACACCCTGAGCCTGAGCTGGAATGTGGGGAACATTCTCATTCGTTCAGCGGCGGGAGCACATGCCACAGCATTCTCTTCACATCACTCTGCCTGAGGGACAGGTCAGGACACACACCAGCACTACTGTTCCATTGTCACCGATTCCCACCCACAAATGTCATCTCAACTCTGCCCAGATGGTTGCCTACTTATATGTGTTTAAACGTTAGAAAAATAGAGTTTCGAGGGCTTCACCCAAATAGACTGTTACTCACCCAGAGTTCCATTCTCTCCTGTCCCCGGGGCTGGGAGGGCACATGGGAGACATCAGGACACACATCAGTGTTAGGCGTCTCCCCTTGCTCCCTCTGAATGTTCACACCTTTTCTGGCCCCCGTGCAGTTACTGGAGGTGGATGAGGGGACCCCACCCTCCCTCTCCTACCAGAACAGACGCCCCAGGCAGATGCCTCCCCCATCGGAAGCACAGGCAGTGCCCTCGGCCACCTGGGAACCTGGCTGGCACAAGCCGCCCTGAGAAGAGCAGTGGGTGCAGCAACGCTGGGCCTCCTTTCAGGGTGGGGCTGATGGGCATCTGGAGACCCGAGGCCACAGGGGCCACTAGCAAGGAGCCGGATTACTTCAGGATTGTAACTAAACTTAGATCACTAAACATATAAACAAACTTCCCCTTTTCTCATTTCCTCAACAAAAATGCAGAGAATATCACACCTTTTTCCCACCCCGGTCTGTTTAAGACAATCTGTGGGTGTAGTTCTGGGATTCTGGCCAATTCTCTTTCCCTCTCTGAGGATGGCTGAGTCCTGGGACTGTACGAGTCCTGAATAGAGTCAGTCCCACAGCACTTAGCACTGTGGCAGGGGTTAAGTGTCTATGAAGGGACAGAGACCCAAATCTGGAAATCCAGGCACACAAACGACCTTTTACCCAAGGTCATCTCTTCCCAGCAAGTCCAGATTCCCTGAGAGAAGGTCCCCACGTTAGAGGCACCTCCGCACCCCCTAGTTACACCCTCCGTCCCTCCATGGCCCGTGGGTCTGCTGTAGCTAGGCCTGACCTCACACTCAGCTCACTTCCTGCAGCTCTGGGTTAGCAGGCTGGCACGGGCAGTGGTCAGGTGGTAGCTGGAAGTGGCCGTACCTGTGTGCTGAGCATTTTGCTTCTCTTTTCTCTTCCAAAGCACTTCTCCGAGCCGTGTGACCCCACTGATGCCGCAGAGCAGGGGCAGCTTCGCAGCCACCGTGCGGCCTCGGGCCTCGGGGTGGTCTGCAGGAGAGCCAGCCAGGAGGACATGGGCCTGGACGACACGGCTTCCCAGCAGAGCGCCTCGGATGAGCAGTAGGGTGAAAAAGGCCACCGGTCATGAGAAACCGAGTCCCCCAGGGCTTCGCCTTCCTTTTCCTCCCTCCTGCTCCTTCAGAACTAAAAACAGCAAATACCGTCATCCACGGGAGGTCCTCTCTATGGACAAATGAGAGCTGTTGTAGAAAAATGATTAACTTTATCTCAGGTTCTTGAAAAATATCTCACATGATAAAAAACACAACACCTGGACTCCAGGCCTCCCTGCCCACTGCCCCCTGAGCCGGGAACGTGAGAGGCACAAAACACTCTCCAGAATTAGGATTCAAACAAAAGCCATGTGACATCTTCTAACAGCTAGGGCAGAGCACATAATTATATCACTCTTTCCACTCTGATGGGATAAGACAGCCGCATGTTAGATACCTGACCTTGTATACACTCCTGTCACGGCGAAAAAGCGAAAAGCGGCCACGCACATTGCGCCATCACTGGCCAAGTGCACTAAGGTTACACCCACAGAGACAATCTCGCTGCTTTATAGCATTTATGCTGACATTAGGTAAGGATAAACCAGTGGCAGTGCATGCAGCCTTGTCCATGGCACCCTGTGATAGCCCAGCAACACCAGGGGTGAGCTGGACATCCAGTCCAGGCGAGACGGACGCCGTCGAGGAGGGACACATGCCCCAGGGTGTCAGCGCGGCTTCCCACTCCCACCAGGTCTGGTCGTCACAGGACGTACACTTGCTTCCCAGGCCGAGGAGTCCCCACCGGTCCTGGGACACCTGCACACTCCTTTGTTTTTGGAATTAAAAGGTTTATATTATTGCTGTTTCTAGATCTTTGAGTTCTGCTGAAACTGTTGTCATTTTTAAAAAAATGACTTCTCTACGGTGAGAGTGACATTTGGGCTAATTCTGAGACTTTTCCCATCTTGGTTTTTTCCAATGGATGGAGCTGCAAACTGGCTTCTAGCTGACAGGACAGAAGGGGGAAGGGTCCTGGACACAGTCCCTGAGGGACAGCATCACTGACCCAGGGAAACATCCCTTCTGAACAACAATACTTAGAAATACTTAAGTTGGAAACAGTTGTACACATTTCTTCAAAGTCTCTGGGATTTGGAAGTCTAGGGAGACGGAAGGGTAATACAGAGAATTCCTTACCCCTTGCAAGTAGATGGTAATGCTCTCTCCTGTTGTTATTTTTTGTTAAAAAGAATTAGCAGTTAATAACAATAGGCAGGCTCTGTAGTCAGACACGATGCCTTACGCTCCATCAGAATCCTGGGAGCCACAAACTTGGTTGTTTCCGGTTCGCAGGCGGGCGTCTGTCTAGTGGGCAGCTGAGGCAACCTCACTGCAGTTGGCTGTCCTGAAATCCTCTTGGGAACTTGACAGCCGAGCCCAAAGGACCCATGGCAGGCCCTCACCTGGGAGTGTGGCCTCCCCATGCAGTGGTCTCGGTTTAGAGGAAAATGGTGGGCCACTCCTGGGGCATCCAGCATATTCCACAGAAAGTGAGATCTGAGAGAGCTGGGGAGCCAGCCACAGAGGAATGACTGTGACAATGCGGATGGGAAGGGAAGGCGCCCCGGGAGCGCCTGCGTCTCCCTCCTGCAGAGGCTCCTGAGCCTCCCCAGCTGCTAAGTCCATTTCTTCCCTCATTCTCAGAGCAGCCTTTGGGAAGACTGGGGGAGCAGGACACTGAGTTTATCCCCGACAGCGCACAGAATGGAACTGTGTCTCTGAAGGAGTGGCCTCGGCTGCGTGTGCTGTGAGCCCGAGTCTGTGCACACGTCCCTCCAAGGTGCACGTGCCCCAAAGGGGAGACTGCTGCGGGGCTCACTACACAGCTCTTCGTGCTGTCAACGATGCAGTCGCTTTTAAAAAAATTGTGAACAACTTTTTAATTCATGGACTTGTTAACTTGGTCTTCAGCCAGTCAGCTGTTTGTCAAGAGAGTAGTCATTGCAAAATACTGTATTATCAGCCCCCATTTGAAAGAGATCCTAAGGTGACATTTCTTGCCAGAGTCATTCAAACCTTCCACCAGCATACAGCTAAAGAGTTATTTCCTGCATTTGGACATTGAACAGACTTTCCCCTCTGAAGTTAAGCAGCAGCCCGTCCTCGCAGTGCCTGGTTTTATATAAACCAGGTGGCTTTCTGGCATCACTGATTCTAGATTTTTCACTGTGTGTTGGAACTGTGTCTGGCAGGTACTTTTCTAAAATCACTCAGTGCTCCATCTCTTTGCCCATAAAATGTGCGATGTGATACTGTTTACATAGCCCTCTCCTCTTGGGGCCCCTTTGCCTCTCCCTTCAGTCCTGAGTCACTGAGCCTCAGGGACGGGAGCATCTGCCATCCAAACACACACACACCACCTTCCCAGAAACAACCTTTTGTGAACACAGAGACAGGAAGGAAAGAAGGGGCCTGGCGAGCCCACTGTTTCTGAGCTGCCACCACCCCACCTTTACTGGGGCCTCCTGCCGTCAGCCAGGATAATCAGATTATAGTCTGTGGAGTGCACCTGAGTCCACCTCCCTGCACGTGAGTACTCACTCAGAGGGAGAGCAAGCGTTTACAGTCCTGTGTGGTGAACGGCAGCTCCAGTCAGGGGAGGGAGAGGAAGGGTTAGGACTCTCCAGGTCAGTTCTGCTTGTCCCATCCAACCCGCTGTTCTGGACGAAATTCCTCATACGAGCCACACACACGCCAACTTGTGCTTTTCACAGCGGTTCTTCCTGGAAGGCTGGACTCAAACCCAACAGTCCGCCAGTCATCTGGATTTGAAGAGCAGACATTTCAAACTCTGGAATGAAAGAGAATTCCTGATCTCCACCCACCCACGCTGCACCCTTCCTCTCAAGAGCGCCTCGGCTTGGCTGGGGAAACTGACGTGACACAGCGCTCAGCCTCTGCTGCTCTGCCCCTCGCTTGTGCTCCGGAGTGAATGAGGCTCCCTCTGGGCTGTGGGAGTTCGATAGGAGTGGACTGATTGTAGGGCGGGGTTCCCAGGGGCCGCACACACCCCTGAAGATCGAATACACCTGTCCTGTCCTGTGAGCGTGGCTGAAGTCACACCCAGACCTCATGAGCTCAGCCTCCCTGAACAAGCCAATGGAGCAGGGACAGTGAGCGGGTGACACCCTCTTCCCCAGACTGGACAAGGCACCCCTTTGAAGGGATTAGTTCCTTACCTATTAGCCCCTTCAGTCACAGTCCCTAAAAGGTCAGCAGGTCCAGACCAAGGTCAGAGCGCAGCCTCGGGAGACACTGACATTTAGGAGCTGTCATAGGCTGCGCCACCACCTCGGCTCAGACGTGAGTGCGCCCTGCACTGTCCATGCACCCAGTGTTCACAGGACCCCTGGTCCCACACACGGGGACTGGTCCGTGGTTACAGATGGGCAAACCCAGCATTAGCACCAACCAGGTTTATAGCTAATGCTAGCTGCTAAAAATAATCCTGGAAATTCAGAGACCTTCACCAGAAATGACCTAAAAACACCTGTGAGTCCCTCCTGTACATCCATCACCCAAGCGCAGTTTCACCCTCTGAATCCTGGGGTGTCGGCTGTCTCCTCTATGCCTGCTGCAGGCTGCCCCTCACCCTGCACCACTATCTGACAGCTCAGCCCGGCACTGGGTTCTCCCCAGGGACCAGGCGGAGGGCTGATGACAGTCCCTTCCACGGGATGCCACAGCCTCCTGTGACGACACTCATTTATCTCCCCGTTTTCTGGATGGGAGATGAGGCACAGAAAGGTTTAAGAACCTGGCCATAGTGCAGCTCTGATCTAACACCCCCATCCTCCCACTGGCACCTACTGAGCACCAAAGGCATCCTGGCTCCTAAGGCTGTTTATTCCTCCCACACAAGGACTCGTGCCCAAAACCGTCTCATCCATGTATACTTTATTAATAAGCAAACAAATAAACAGTAAGGGGGGGCTGAAATGGCTTCCTTTTAAAAATCAAAAACTGTTACCACTTCAAGCTACATGAGACCACAGCAGCCCCTGGGAGGGATTCACGTTCCTGACGTGCAGGACCGATGAGGAGTGAACTCCCCTCCCCCCCTCCCCCAACACATTCATCAACTTCACGGGGGCAAATCCCATCTGGGGCTCGGAGAACCATTCCTCGTTTCATAATTTACCCCAATCATACGCACAACTGCAAGGGGAAATAAACAGCGCGCAGCATAAATAAGCACACGATGATTAGTCTTGCAGTCGATGCAGCACTGAGGCTAATTCCTCTTCTAAAGGGTTTATGGGAAACAGCTGTCAGGCTTTCTGTGCAGGAGCCCACACGGTTCCAGAACCGAGGGCCTGGACCCAACAGGCGAGGCTGCTCCGGGAAGGGCAGCAAAACACACATCACATCACCTTCACCTCCTGCCGCTCTGCACACATGTCACAATATCCGGCAAGAGGTGGTTCCTATTCTCCCTGGTGACCTGTGGGAAGAAACAAGAGAGGGCCTCAGAGTCCCTTTCCTCTCTCCACTCATCTGACAGTAATATTCTAGAAGAGTCCCAGGGCCGGGAAGGGGTGAGCTATGCTATGAAGTACGAGCCAGGTATGAGTCAGGTATGAAGTATGAGCTCTGAAAACAGGACCAGTCCGCTCGCATCCCACCACCACCCTCTGCAAAGCAGAAGTGGGTTTACAATGGGTGGAATTTAACCATGAAAAGACCTAAGAGGCCCCGTGCAAGGTGCTCCGGCATGGACAATGGGACACAGGATGGGACACAGCCCGACCGTGAGCAGACCCAACGAGGAGGAACTGCCCGCATGAAGCCGGGAGAATGCGCCTACCGGGTGGGCCTGCTAAGAGCAGCTGGCACCTGGCCATGTCCCTCCCGATGCTGGATGCTCCCAAGATCAGTAATCACTCATCTCTCCAGGACCTTAGCAAACCTGAGTGCTGCCAGGAGCCCTGACATCATTCAGCTCCACACCTGAAAGATGAGGAGGCTGAAGCCCAGAGAAATCAGGGGTCTCCTGAGCCCTAAGCTAGTGGGAGCGCAGTGCAGACTGAACTCAGGTCACCGGACCCCAGTATCTCTGGCTCTCTAATTGCTATCATTACAAAAACAAGAGTCTACTCCAGATTTACTTGATGACCCATTTTAAACCTTTCTTTCTCAACCACAGTCCCATGAAAACCACAAAAGCATTTGGACTTGCAGGAGAGGTGGAGGGTGGTCTGCCGCCCCACAAGGGCAGGGCCATCGCTCCTCCCATCACCTGGGCCTTCCTGTTGGCCCCACACGACTTTCCCCCAGTCAGCACAGACGGGGTGCAGGCCAGGAATGGGACAAGGTGCTGGGGCAGGGAAATGACTCAGATAAAACTTGACCTCATGGAGTTTACAGGCCAGAGCACAGGGGCAGGAGGCAGGAACAACAGCGAGAGCAACGAATGAGTGAATGAGTGACTGAATGAACAAATGAACAGTGAGACATGAGAGTGGAGGTGGTGGTCAGGAAAGGTTGCCATAGGGAGATGGGCCTGGCCTTAGTTTTTACAGGTGGACAATGACAGAGGGGCCCCCAGCAGAGAACCCGAGTGCATCTGGAGAGCCTGAGTGGTTGAATGTGGGGACCCTGAGAGGAGGGACATGCCGGATCCCTGCAGACCTCACACCCCATATTTAACAGGGGGCTTGGCACACAGTAGGTGCTAAATAAATGTCTGATGAGGAAATACACGGAGGACTTCATCCCTTTGGGCTTCTCAGCATCCAGGCTACACAGTCTAAGAACCAGCCCTCAGTGAGAAGTGCCAGCTGGGCCCGGAGACCTTCCTGGGGGTCTGGATCTTGAACGTAGGGGGCTTAGCAGCCAGTGCTGGGGCTGGCCCCCTAACAGCAGTGTCCAGGACATGTCCCCTGGGCTCAGCACTCAGAGCTTCAGGGCCCTGTGTCATCTCATTTTAACTTCGCAGCAGGCCTATGCAATGAATGAGGCTGGCAGGGCCATCCCATTCCACACAGCACAGGCCAAGGTGCAGGAGACAAAAGCGGTTCAAGGACCAAGAAACACAAAGGCCTCATCTATCCCCAGGTACCCCGACTGCGTCCCTGCCCCACAGAGACCCTCCCTCCCTCCTCAGGAGCTGTTGGAACTAAGGCGCTACAGTGGGGCCAGTGCTGGCCACTCCCAACCTGCACAGAATGCTCTCCAAGCCTTGGTTAGCTACAAAAAGAAAAATTAAAACCAGAAAAGACACATTTTGGGAACATTTTATCATTAAAAATTAATGAACAGAAAGTTACATTAATATTCTGTTCTCCCCTCTGATTTCCGAGAGTTCTGAAAACGATGCAGCTGACGTCTGTGTGACACTGTCTACTGAGCTCAGCTCTTACGCAGACTCAATGCTCAAACAAGCACACCACCATCCGTCAACGCCGCGGCCCTGCCCTCTGTGCGGGATTCTAGTCTACTTCTCATTCAACCACCAGATTTCTGGCTGCAGAGTCTTTCCTGGAAGGCTACGAGGGACCTGGGGGCTGGGAACAGAAGGAGGTGAGGAAGACTGCAGAGAGAACCCAAGTTGTCCTGCCCTCCTCCTTCCGGCATGAGCCTGGAGGGAAAGGAAGCTGATGACACCTGAGCCCTCTGTCCTCCCTGCGGGTGCGGACACCGAGTTCCGCGGAAACTGGGCTGTGTCTCACCCATCCGGCTCCGGCATGTGGCAGGTGCTCAGTAAATGCTCATCAAATTCTAGGCTGAGGAGGGTCTCTGAAATACAACTGAGTGGTTTGGTTGAATAAAGATGACAAAGATGCCGACAGTCTCGAGTATCCAGGTTGCTCTGTGCCTCCGGGGCCATCGCAGTGCCCACTGGCTAACAGCAGCTTGAGCACCACAATATAAGCAGAGCTGTGAGCATCTGCACAGAGGAGCAGGTAGGGAAAATGCTGTTCAGTGTATGTACCATGTGCAGGAAAGCAAAGCAAACCACATACATTTCCTTGAGACGGCGTAGGAAGAACCCTGAAAAGTTTCTAATAAGCAAGGATTAGAAAAGGAAGTAGTTTGACAGTGCTCATGATTATAAGTTAACACATATTAAAAGCTATGACTAATCTGTTTCATGTTTTGTCTTTATTTCATTTTATTGAACCTAAATATAGAATCATTCATGGATCTAAATCTACTTTTTCTTAGAGGTTAAAATCCTTTAACTAAAAATTACATTGCCAATGGGTTTTGAGGAACCCAGTGTCCACGGCTGGAGAGGGACAACAGGTCAGTGTACAAGTGGTAACGGAGCATATCCCCAGAAGAGACGCAATGGCCCTTTGCTTGGGCGTGCTGTCTGACTTCTGCGAGTATATAACTTTAGTAAGAGATAAATCATACACCATAAAATTCAACCTCTTCATGGGAGGAATCAGTGGCTTTCAGCATATTCCGAGTTGTGCAGTCCCCAGCACTATTTAGAACATTCTCATCGCCCACCCCCACCACCCCATTCTCACTCCTACGCTTCCTCCTTCCCCCGAGACCCTGGCAACCACTGATCCACTTTCTATTCCGAAATCTGCCTGTTCTGGACATGTCACACAGATGGAATTACACAACATGAAACCTGTGGTGACAGACTTCTCCCACTTCATAATGTGATGCTAATTCACCCGTGTTGTGGCATGTGTCACTGCTCGCTCCTTTCTGTTCTCAAGTAACGCCCCATCGCATGTGTGTAGCACATTTATTTATTTGGTCATCAGCTGGACACTGGGCTGTTGCCATTTTGGGCTATTATGAATAATGCTTCTGTGAACATTATTGCACAGGTTCATGTGTGACATGTGATCTCAGGTCTTTGGGGTGTACCCCGAGGACTGCTACTGCTGGGTCAAATGGCAACTCCACGCTGCCCTTCTGGGGAACTGCAAGGCTGTTTCCACAGTGGCTCTGTATGAGGGCTCCAATCTCTCCACAGCTCCCCAATCCCTGTTACTTTCCATCTCTTTCCATTAATTTTACTGTAGCCACTCCAGTGGGTGTGAGGTGCTGTCCCCACTGTGGTTTTCACTTGCACTGTCCTTACAGCTAATGCTAAACACACCTTTTCATGTGTCTATTGGCCATTTGTCTATATTTGGACAAGTCTTTTCAGATCCTTTGCCCATTTTTAATTACTGAGCTATAAAACTCTCTATATATTCTGGAATGCAGGTCCCTTATCATATATATTATCTTTACCCCCCCCCCCATCTGTGGGTTGTCATTTCACTTTCTTTTAATTCTGATAAAGTCTAATCTGTCTATTGTTTCATTTGTCAATTGTACTTTTGGTTCGTATCAGATAAGACTGTGCTCACCCAAGTTTAGAGACTTACTCCAACATTTTCTGCTGAGAGTTGTGTCATTTCGGTTCTTACATTAGTTCTATGGTCTATTTTGAGTTAACTGTTGTGTATACTGTGAGGTGCAGGTCTGACTTCACTCTTTGACATGTGGATGTCCAGATTTCCAGCACCATTTGTTTAAAAGATATTTTTCCTAATTAAATTATCCCTGTCGGAAATCAGCTGACCAGAGACATAAGGGTTTATTTCTGGACTTTCAAGTGTGTTCCATTAATCTTTGTCTGTCCTTACGCCAGTACCACACTGTCTGGATTACCAGTTTTGAGGTAAATTTTTAAATCAGAAAGTGTGTGTCCTCCAACATTTCTTTTTCAACACTGTTCTGGCTGGGTTCTTGACATCTGCATATGAATTTTAGGGTTAGCTTATTGATGTCTACAGCACCCCTCCAACTTCTGACCTAGAGACTGGCAGATGTACTCTGACCCCTGTACCTACAAAATAGGAGCAGACTAGAGGGCCCAGAGAACAGCATCCAACTCCTAGTGACATTAAAGTGGTCGATGCCCTGCTTGGTGAGAGCAAAAAAACAAAAACAAAAAAACAAGGGGAAGAGTAAGAAGAGGTCTAAAAATTTACAGATTGGAGAGAAGTGGAAACCTGGTTCCCATTATTGTGATGCTGCAACCCACAAGTAAAAACTAAATGAATGAAAGCCATTGTATGTAGAGAATAAATTCAAATGGCTGTGAGTTCAGAATAGTAAAATAGATATGTTATAGTAACATTTCTATAAAGTAGAAAAACCTTGTAATTTCTAAGAATCTGAGATTTTATGGCCAAATCATCTGAATAGTCACTATGAACGAAGGTAACAGTCCAGCAGGGCTATCCTAATGCTCAGGCTCTGGAGTCAGACTGGCCGAGGTTTGAGTCCTGGCTCTGCCACCTACTGAATAGCCTTGGAAAAGTTATACAACCTCCCACTGAAAAAATGGAGATGGTGTGACACGCCTCAGCAGGTTACTGTGACATCTGTATGCAATGATGTATGTACCTGCAGCACTGAGCACAGCACCCAGCTCCAGGTGCTCTGAGACTGGAGCTACCTTGATTTCTTTGTCAGTACTCAGCCGACTCCAGGCATCTCCTCTGTCCCCTCAGCAGGTAGCATTCTCCTACATTTCCATTAAGAAAATATTTCAAAGGAAATCAAATGAAATAGGCTTCTTAAATGCCACTATGATGACCAAACTCATATTTTTTTCTTTTTGTAAGAAGTGACTGGCAGGGATAAAAATGCTGTTTTCATGTTGGTAATCAGAGGACTATGACAGAGGACACATGGCTCTCTCTAGTGACCTTGGTCTTCCTCAATTGCCTCTACAGCACTAACACAACAAACCACTCATCTCACATGTACGCTACCATAAGCCTCTCCAACTGCAGGGACCTGAGATCTACCCGAGAGCTAGTTGAAACAGATTCTTGGGCCTGTGTCCAGGAACCTGATCCATCAGGTCAGGGTGAGCCCCACAACCTCACACGTCTCACCAGCTCCCCAGTGACGCCCATCCTGTGGGTGTGCAGACCTCGCTGTACTGAGCACGATCTATGGCTGTGCTGCCCATGTGGCTCCTAAGTGACTAAGAAGTGGCCACTGTAACTGAGGGACTCAGGAGCCACTTGTGGCTACTGGCTGCTGCACTGGACAGTAGGACTGTGTGTTCCATCACCATGGGAACTTCCACTGGGCCGAGATCCTCTCCAGCAGTGAGGGCCATGCTCCACACAGCCACCATAGCCTCCTCTCCCCGAGTGGCTCAGCCCAAAGGGAAACTTTCCAATAAAACGGCACTTCTTTGCCTCTGTATCTCAACCTGACATAGTCCCGAGAAAAGATGTGCTCAGGCAGTTCTGATGCTGTGGGCGAAGTGCTGTGTCTGGTCGGGGAGGATGACTGCAGCCTGAGCAGTGAAGACAGGCTGCCCCACAGGCAGGCCTATTTTCACATGGAGTTTATAATGTAAGTCCTAGAAATTCCTAGAAAATAAGACTCACCCACATTCTATCATAAGAGATAAAAGGATGGTCATTCAGAACAAAAGTCTGTTTTCAAGCCACTGCTGTTTCGGGTCACCTGCTCCGTCTGCAGACAGAGGCTGCTGTACTCACGCTGAACACCTGCACGTCTGTTCGGGTCCGAATTTCTTCCACGAGGGCCAGTGGTTTCCCTTTAGGCACCGGGATTGTGCCCAGGACCACAGTCCCTGGGGCGGCCAGTGTCTGACGAACAGCCTGGATGAAGGGCTGGCTGAAGAGCTCCATCTTCCCGACCTCATCGATGACACACACTCTCGGCCCTGGGCCACTGCTAGAACCTGCCTGAGGACAACAGGGATGGTAACTGGGACACCAAAGGCACAGTAAGCAGGGAACCCACTCCCCACTCACTCACCAACCAACCGTCACACCAGGGAAAGTGAACTGCGCTCCAGAAGACAGGTCACCTCACAGTCCACAGGGGCCAGTTAACTGCAAACTCCTCTCCCCTGGAGACTGTCCCACCCAGGAAACCCAACTCCCTGAGCCTCCCAGTTCTCCTGGCAGTTCGTACTCCTTTAGAACAGTTCCAGTATTAGCCAAGCTTCATGTGTACATACACCCAGAAAACAGGCAGGACTGAACACCTGAGTTTTAGAAGAAACCAGACGCCTGGCAGCCCTTATTACTAACACTGCCCCATTTTTTTCAATTCTGAGTGGAATGAGGTTCCCTGTCTGCCGGGAGGAGATAAGTGCTACAGGCAGATGCCTGTGTTTCATAATCTGCAATATGAGGGCTGGGGGAAAGAAGTAAAAAGAAAAGGTATCTTGGGTGAAAGAAAGAAGTGAGCAGGACTGTGCCCTTTAAATCTCAGATTCCCCTTCTGATGACTTTACTCCTTCAAGTCCACACGTCCTTGGAAACCCCAAGAGGGACAGGGGTGGGGCCAGGAGTCATAAGGACTCCCAGCTCCTGGGATCTGCACTCCTGTGTAGCCCCCAACCACCCATGCAGGACCAGGGCTGGTCTGTATAACCATGAGAATCAGGCAGAAGGGATGGTATATCACTCCTGAGACTAGGTAAGAGGCTACAGTTTGGTAATGTCTCAATTTCTCAATCTCCCTCTCTCTCTGCTCACTTGCTCTGGGAGGACAGCTGCCATGTTATGAAGACATTCAGGCAGCCGAAGGCCAGGTTCATGTGAAAGGAACTGAGGCCTCCCAGCAACCATGACAGCAGCCAACAGCTTGACTGCACCCTCATGGACACCCTGAGTCTGCCACACTCATCTAAGCCATCTGGACTCCTGAGCCAGGAAAACCCTGCAAGATAATAAATGCTTGTTGCTTTAAACTGTGAAATTGGGGGGTAATTTGTTACGCAGCAGCAGAGAACTAACGTATACGTCCCCTCTAGAAAACTTTCCCGAGAAAGCTGGTATGAGTATGACTAGTTCTTCCACAGCAGGGACATAACACAACACATAGTAACACTTCAATGAGTGCAGAGCAACGTTCTATAACCTTTATATAAACCACTACTCTGAAAACTACATGTGAAGCTGATTTACAAAGTACTTCTCACTAACATTCTTAGACTCCGTAAATAGTCACATAAAATAGTCTTGGGACAGATGTCTGAGTTAAGCTAGACTTTGCTCAAATTCCAGCACTAAAGCTGCGGCCCCGGGTAGCTGGTGGTGGATGCACGTGGCGGCAGACTGAGGGCAGATCCTGAGGCCCTGAACAGTGCTCAGGGGGGAGGGGAGGGGGATTCTGTCCAACATCAGAGAGAGTCTAAGCCAGGGAGGACCATGAGCTGTGCCAGGAAGCTGCTGGCTGTACAGAGTCAGGAGAACAGGTCTGAATCTTAGAAAAGACAGTGAGACTGTGAGGCCTAACTGAGCAGTGATGGAGGAAGCATGAGAGCACTGGTTTTCAAACTTCTCATTGAGTGGCACTCTTTTTATTTCTCCACCTAAAATCATGCACATAATTTATTTTCTAATCTTTTTACTGGCAGAGAGACCAGGAAGAGGATCCTTTGTGATCACCCAAGAGAGTCTAAACAATCAAACTTCCATTTTTCTAATGCCCTTCATTTTTGTCTTTCAATCTAGTTGTTTGTGTGTGGTGTACACACACACACACACACACACACACACGCGCGCGCGTGCAGACAGGTTGTATTCATTATTTTCTTTCCCATAGAATTGAATGAGGCTGCAAAGTTGAACTGAGGGAGCTAAGTCGCCCTCCACTGAGGGGTGGAGGTAAGGGGAGAAGGGAGAGTGTCTGCTGAAGAAGGCATTGTTTATTCTAAACTTTTTCTTCAAAAATGAGCAAACTTGAAGACAGTTGTCAGTCACCTACTTGTGAGCATAAAAACAGACAATGCCACGAGAGCCAGCCATTCCCACTGACCAGACCCTTTCCTATCCAGGCGCGCCTGGGGCACTGGGCTGCCTCCAGAGACAGGAGTAATTGTGGATGCTGTCTTCTGGAAGCCACCATCCAAAAGCCAAACAGAACTCTGCCGAGGCACATCCAATGACAGTTTGAAAGCAGGCAGTTCAGACAAAGAAAAATAATAGGAAAGAATGTGTGTGTATTGTACATGTGTATTTATTTGGGAACATATATGTGGGCAGTCAAATGCATGAGGGCATGTATGTAAACACATAAGCAGGCACAAACACACAGCACATGGCCCTCCCGCCACCCCGGCCACTCTACAACCTTCACCATTAGAGCTCACTCCATTTAAACTTCTGCACAGGTACCTGAAGATACACATACATTATTTTGTACCAACTGGAAGAGCTCATTTTAAAACCTTAGCTTGTCTAAAATCCTCATTCTGTCCAGAATTAGTGACTTATTGTTTAGGAACTATAAGACTCTCAAAGGTAAGTCTTGGACTTTTAATGAGAAGTGAAGTTATTCAGACTCACTTGAGAGACAGCAATCAGATGCTAATCCACCCGGAAGCTGGCAAATACTCAGCCTGTTTCTCTAAATAACACACGAAGATATACTCAAGAGCCTAATAAAAGAACCACTATTATGTTCAAAATTGTTTTGTTTCTATATCAATTCAAGCAACATTAGCAGAAAACAAAAAAGCCAGTGAACAAACAATAGCCTGTTTACACTGTTCTAAACACTGTTCTGAGTTGATAAAGACACAATCTGTTTGCCACACTGGGGCCCAGGTTCGAAAACTGGCAGGAGCCTGCGCTCCTGGAGTAACTGTACCCAAGGGTGTTGAGTAGGGAGCTCAAGAAGAGCCAGGGGCTGTGGGCTGAAGGTAAAGGACAACACAGGGCGTCCCTGCCAATGGCCACAGCGCAGCCCTGTGTCACTCACCACACTCCTCATAGGCCTTGGTCTCAGCTGACTATAGGTTTCACTGTCAGAGTGAGAAAAACTCTGTCAAGCAAAGCGTATTTCAGCTCCTCTGCTTGTTGAGAGAAGAGATACTGCTTTGGGACAGAGCCCTGAACTTGACTGGCCTGGGGAAGAGAAGCTGGGAATAATTTTACAGCTTGGATCTCACTTGGCTACTTCGCTTTCTGGAAAGATTAGCAGATTTAGAGCAACAACGAAATGTCTTTGTCCCAGTTATGCCAGAGACCTGAAAATAGTGTGGGATTTTTTTTTTTTTTTGGTCCTTTGTTTGATCTTTATATGTACTTTTAAGAATATAAAGAAAATGTAAAAATAAAGTAAGCAATTTTATTTAACCAAAATATTGAACCGAGAGAAAGCTAAAGTTTTTTATGTAGCTCTTTTTGAGTATCAAAAGTAATACAGTTCAAAAATCTAAATAAGGTGTTTGCCTTTCTCTGAATTATTACTTAATAAATATTTCTGGTGGTATTAGGTTAACTTTTTTTAAATATCAGACACACAGACTGGCTTCTGAGCCTGCCTGTCTGGGACAGCACGTATGAAAGTCACGGCGGGAACGGGGTGTCTGTAGAAGTCAGGTGCAGACCTGCAGGCCTTCCTAGAAAACAGCCATGGTGCTGGGGAAGCCAGGAAGGCGAAGGGCAGTAACAGCAGCCACAGCTGAGCCACCTCATAATCCCTCTGTTGTTAGCTGAAAGTACAGGACTCCAATTAGCCTTCATGTGTGTTCATTCCAAGCCTAAAGTTTCAGAATCCCTTAGCAGTCTGGTGGCAGGTCGACCACCTGTCTCCAGGGAGTAAAGTCACAGGCTGGCAGCCAGGATAAGATGTCTAGACAGACCGAGACACCCCGCAGCCCAGCCCTTCCCCATTAGGCGTGCTCTGGGCGAAGGACACCCCAGAGATCCCACTAGACTAGTTCTGGCCTCTCCAGGGCTCCCCCACATGGCACCTGACTGCAGAGCACCAGAGGGTGCCATTGGCATTTTCCAAGCTACAAGAACCATCCTGGGACTGAAACAGTAGCCACTGGCCAAGTCAGCCCAATGGATGGAGAGCCCAGCCTCCTGTGATCCCAGCGCCCTGGGACCAGCCTGGCCACCTGCCTCCTGGGTCCCCATGACAGATGGGCAGCTCGCTCTGGCCCCCAGGTGCCTGGCAGACACAGATCAGAGTGTTGCTGTGAGGCTCCACCCAAGGTACTACATCCATCACCTCTCTCACCTCAAGAAGAATCATCAGACTGCACTAAGTTGTGCACCTGCTGGCAGCCAGGGACTAATGCACTTTACAAGCTTAGTAACTTCACAGAGCAGGTGTCAGCATCTCTGTTCTACAGAAGAGGACAGGAAGTGATTTGGGCAGTCACCAAGTTCCTGAGGGACAGAGCTGGGAATCAAGCCCGAGATCCACTGCTGCCAAAACTCCCCACATATCCCGTATGCAATCCCACCTGCATGCTTGCAACACAAAATAATGGAAAAACATGAGTCTCAGAAACCCATCCAGCCACGAGAAAACTCATCTCTCCCATGAGAAACAATGACACTGGTTCCCAGGGGCCCACAGAGGCACAGCCACAAGAACTCTAATATTAATTTTTTTGGAGTAATCATATTACTTTCAGTACTCAAAAAGTTACATATTTGGAGGACTCAAAATAAGTACCATCACCAACCCCATTTTATCCATTAAAGAATGGCCCCATTCTGTAGAGGTGGCCTGCAGGTAAGGGGGCCTCATCCTCCACCAGGAACACAGCTCTCTGAACACCCGGAAGACAGGACCAGGTCTCCCAAAATGGCTTCACTCCTGCCCCTTCTCATCAGCTGACAGTGTTTATGTAACTAATTTTTGTAAGTTTCTTTTGCTTAGTAAAAACTTGGTATCTTTGATGCCTTAGGTCCTTTTATTAGAAATTGCC